TTGGGTCTCCCTGTAGTCCAAGTTGACCTGGAACTCATTATGTAGACCAGGCTGGCCTTGAACTCACAGAGATTTGCCTGCCTCTGCCTCCCAAGTGCTGGGATTAAAGACGTGCACCACCACACCCGGCTCTATTTCAAAATATTTTGGAATACATATCACTCACACACATACACACACACACACACTAAGGCAATTAAACCACCTACATGATACCCCTGAAGCATTTCTTTCAGTTGCTGAAGAATCCACAATGGCAGGCAGTTGGGGAGGGGAGGGACAGGGGACAGAGGAACCTAGAGTAGGGGCTGTGGGAATATGTGCAGATCTGAGAGGACACGGTTGCAGTGACTACAAGGCTGATGAGAAGCTACTGAGATTCCTATGGAACCAAAGTGGAACTTCATAAGAACATAACGGACGAAAAGGAAAAACAAACAAAAATAACAACAATAACAAAACTATGATGGCTGTGCAGGCCCTGATGCCATGTAGGCCAAACTGATATCTTTTTATATTAAGTACCCCAGGTCAGTTTACTGAGATTAAAACAAATCTGGGGGCTAGAGAGATGGCTTAGCAGTTAAGAGTGCGGACTGTTCCCTCAGATAATCGAATCGCAGCACCCACATTGTATAGCTTACAAACTCCTGTAACTCCAGCTCCAAAGGACTGAACGACCCCTTTCTAACCTCCATGGGCACCTTCCAACACATACAAGCCTAGTTTGGTTCACTTTAGTGAGATCCTATCACATGTGCTATCAAAAGTACACATGTGTTTTATCAGCAAGATTCATGGTCCTAACAATTCCACTGAAACTAAAAAATGCCAAGTTGGACCTGAAATTGTACTGTAACTGGAGGTGACAGTGAACTTCTTAGATTTTTAAATAAAATTAAAACAAACTGATCAAACAACAAACCTAACTACTAGATTTTTTTTTTTTTTTTTACTTTCCTCAATTAACAGGAAAAGCTTATTGGGCAATACTGAACCTCTACCTTTGTTTGGAGTAGTTTTATTTTCACACTACTATCAACTGAAATTGTTATATGCACATGTAGTCCCTGCTCTGTGTATACCACTTCAAGCTAAAACTCAGGACCATTAGAATCATAACTCTTATCTGTACAGCTCTGGGGTAACCAAGATCTATAATAACATACTACATGCAAAGCACCTTAGTGCAGGAAAATAATAAATGACCCTCAACTTAGAGGAAAGTATTAAGAAAAGCATGATAGAAAGAACTGAGTGGAGGTGAGTGGCGTTTTCACTGCCGAACTCTCGGGGCAGATAACTGAGGCCTGCTGGAAGAGGACCTCCAAAAGGCAAGTATGTCTGGAAGGCCACTTTTGCTGGCTATCAGCAAAATCTCCAGAACCAGACCACATAGCTCTTGTTAAAACTGAAGGTGTTTATACCCAAGATGAAACCAAGTTTTACTTAGGCAAGAGATGTGTTTATGTACATAAAGCAGAAAACCACACAGTGCCCCTGGTGGGAAACCGAACAAAAGCAGATCAGGGGAAAGGTAACCTGGGCCCACAGAAATAGTGGCACAGTTAGTGTCAAATTCTGAGCAACCTTCAAAGGCCTCCAGCAAAGGCCACTAGACAGAGAATCCATGATGCTGTAACCCTCACAGATTTAAACTAATGGAAATTAAATAAATGAAAGTGGATTTGTATTCCTGTAGGAAGGAAGGGAGGGAGAGGGGAGGCCTTTAGGTACTGACTGAATTAGTTTCTCAAACTCTATGCTCCCTCCCACTGCCCACTGCCATTTAAGACTGTGGTAGTGGTAAGTCAAGAAGTACTTCCAAACCTTATAATGTTGTTTGTGAACTGGAAGGCAGGTGGAGCAGAGGCAAGGTAGTTGGAATAATGAGGGAAGCAACGAGCATTTTTTTAACTTTTTGAGACATATGTAATCAAAGCCAGCTTCAAATTCCTTATGTGGCCCAGGCCCAGGCTTATCTTGAACTCAAAACCTTCCTACCTGCACTTCCTGAGTGCTAAGATCACAAGTGTGCATCACTACACTCAGCTGTGATCAGCACTTTATAATATACTAGGGCAAAATCAGATAAATTTAGTCCGCCTTTTAAAACAGGAATGAACCTCAAAACAGAGGTTCACCAAAGCTTTGGATTTCCATCAAATCCTTCTCACAGTTCAATTAATAGCACAGTATTTTATATATGTATATATATAAAATCAGTAGTATTAAGTTGTTCAAATTTCTACTCATGCTCCTATCTATACCAAGAAATTTTATAATTTTAATTGAGTTTTCTACACTAATATAAATTTTCAAAACTATACAACCTGTTATAAATCTTAAACATAGTTGGGGCTGAAGAGATGATTTGGAGGTTAAGAGCACTCGCTGCTTTTACAGAGGCCTGAGTCTGGTTCCCAGTGTCGACATGAGGCAGCTCACAATCCCCAACTCCAGGGGATCTGATGCTCTCTTCTAGACTCTGGGCACCAGCACTCATATAAGCACATTCCCCTACACAAACACACACAAATAATGTCTAAAAAAAAAAACAAAAACCATAAACATAGTATACTGAGCTCTAATAAACAGAAGGTGTTTATATAATAAAAGCTTAAATGATTTTGCAAAAAGTTTGAAAGAAACTGAAAAGTATCTTTTAGATAAATACTAGTGGGAAGTTAGGAACTAAGAGTGCTCTGGATAAGCAAGAAATAAGTCAGGTATGAGAGTATATGTCTGCAATCCCAGTGCTAAGTCAGGAGGATCACCTCAAGTTTGAAGTCAACCTCAACTGTATAGTGAGCATAGCTTGGAGGTCAGCATGGACTACACAGTGAGACTCTGTCTCAAAAACAGACTTTAAAAAATAAAGAAAACCAGGGTTCAAAAAAAAAAAAGAGATGGCTCAGCAGTTAAGAGCTGCTCTTACAGAGGACCTGGGTTTGATTCCCAGAACCCATGTGGCAGCTAACAACATCTTTAACTCCAGTTCCAGGGGAATTCAATGACATCTACTGATCTCCGTAAGCTCTGCACGACACAGGTGAGCTTATACACATGCAGACAATGCATTCATACTTATGAAATATAAACAACAAAAATATTTTTTTAAAGTACTGCTAAATATCATAAATGGGACAAATGGGAATTATTATTTACACTCTACCTTAAAATGTACTGTGATGTTCCAAGGAAGAGTTGAACTTGATGCAAGAAGATCAAACAGCAAACCAATTGGATAATGCCTAAAAGTGAAAAGGTACATTTTAGAGAAAACAAATACATAAATTTATAACTAAAATTCCAAAGCAAAATTCCATCACATTTTATCACCCAGTGTCATAGGTTTTACTGGCCAATCACAGGAAGGTAACTTTCCATAGTTACATGCCAGGGATAATATGACACACTTTCCAGGTGTCAAGTTTCTTCCAACCCTTTCATTTCCCTAAAGAACTTCAATATACACAATAGGATTACAGTAAAGCACTCTTATCAGCTGCTATAATATCAAATCATCATTCCAGGGCTAATAAAGAGACAACTTTTTTTTAAGTTTATGCATATGTATGTTTACTTACTTTTCTGATAGGATCTCAGTATGTGCTCTGGCTGGCCTGCTACTATCTTGACAAGACTGGCCTCAAACACACAGCAATCCTCCTGCCTCAGCCTCCTTTTTCAGTAGTGGGTAATCAAACCCAGGGCCTTGTATAAGCTAGATAAGCACTCTAATACTGAGCTACAAACCCAGCCCAGATTGAAATCATTAGTAGAGTTTACTACCAAAGTATTCTTTAGAAAATCCACAAATGATCTCTCAAGATAATTATAGTACAACAATATCAAATACATATTATGGATAATTAAGTTGTGGTAACAAGAAATTTAACTCTTTAAAATACAATGTTAGAGCACCCTCTGCTGTCTAATCAAATCACTTCAAAACAAGATTCAGATAATCAACACTTCTATTTCCCTGGTGACTTTTCGTAGATTAACAATACAAAGCACCATGGTTGGAAATGTGCCTCAATGATAAAGTGCTTGCCTAGCCTACAGGAGACCATGTCTTAGAAGATGTCTATATAGCAACTACTTACTGAGCATTCACAATGTGTCTATCACTGTTCTTAAATATTTTTCTGTTATAATTTGGGCAAATTAAAGTAAGTAATTATGAAATTAGGAAAAAATATAAAAATGGGAAAATATTAAGTAGAATTTCATCAGTTATGGTACAAAGAGCCATGAATTGAAACTCTCAGAGCCTGGGTCCTGCTGGACATGGTGGAGAATATCTGTTAGCCAAACGATGACTGGGAGGCTGAGGCAGGAGAATCGCCATGACTTTCAGGCAAGCCTGGAATACAGAGTGCGAACCCAAGTCTCCTGACAGTCTGGGCTACAGAGATCCTGTCTCGGTACACCCTTGCCCCTGCCCCAAAGAGAGACTTTTCAGAGGGCTAGAGATGCAGCTCAGTGGAACAGCACTTGCCTAGCATGTCCAAAACCCTGGGTTTGGTCCCCAAGAATGGTTCAGGAGACACACTCCAAAGAGGAAAGTACTGAATGTAGGACTATGGCATATTTAAGCCAAACCACTGTTCTGCAGTAAAGAAATTAGCCCAAACACCAGTTATTGGCATCATATCCAGAATATAATTTATACTAAACTTAATGAATGTGAGCTAAGACCCAGAGATCACTCTTTAAAGATTAAGCAGGCTTTAGATTCAAGTCTAATTTCACCAAAGTACCTTCTTTCATTTCCTAAGTCTCTTTCAAACTCTCCTCATTTTAATATTCCCAGAATGAGAGCAAGTATTTTTAACCGATTTGTGTTTTCCAATTTCATTTAAATTTTGTCTCAGTCTGTGTCTTTTTCCATTCAAGTGCATGCAAATAAAAGCATCTGAACACTGTATCCCAGCACCTTGAGCTATGCTATAGCCTTCCCTCTACTTCAAATAGCTTTGGAAGCACAACCAAAAAAACTCCAATAACACAGGAAATAACAAAAACTCATCTGCATACAGATAAATCCAGATTGAGAATTGTTTCCAAGAATCTGAAAAATATCACATTAGGCTGGTGAGAGCTTCAACAGATAAAGGCACTTGTCACCAAGCCTGACGACCTGAATTTGATCCTCAGGAACTACATACACAGACACACACAGACACACACAGAAAGAGAGAGAGAGAGAGAGAGAGAGAGAGAGAGAGAGAGAGAGAGAGAGAGAGAGTAAATGTTTTAGTTTGTTTTTCCACTACTATGACAAAACACTCTGACCAAAACCAACTTGGGGAGGAAAGGGTTTGTCTTACATATCCCAGGTCACAGTTCATCAGGGAGCCCAAGGTAGGAA